CTACCCATTTAACTCCTAGACCCAGCTAAGCAAAGAAAACCAGAATTTTAATTTCTGAAACAAAGAATTAAAGATGGAGTTATCTCAGTAGGGGGTCTTGTATGGTTGTGATTTTTATAGATTAAAGAGTAAAATAAGAGATACTGCTAAAGAAGAAAATTATTTAAAAAAAATTCAAGTTCTTAGGTTTGGTTTAATTTTTTTTCTTTTAAATATACATGGGCCTTAGCTTGTCAAAGCCAAGGAGTGAACAGCTCAGTGGTGACGAAGTTGTGATTCAGACCAGAGCCAGCACTGAGCTGAGCTGAAGCTCACCCCAGGCCCCCACACCCCTGTCCTCACCCTGGGTTATTTCCCATCACAATCGCACTAAAAAGGAAAAAGGATTTTTTAAATTGCTTTCATCAGTTAGTGAGCTATAAGGAAAGAGATGCCCTCCACTTCATTAATGAAAACCGTTTCCAACTCGATAAAAGCCATTTCAAAGCTCTTCATGAAGCAGTGGTTGACGGGGGAGAGAGGGAACCATTTTCTTGGCAAAACCTCTCCAAGTGTAGCCCTTTCTGGGATAAGCTTGGTGCAGAGACCACTATCTGGCATCACACCTGGGTTTATCAGCTGCTGCAGGTGGCTCTGTTCATTGACCGTGGGGCTGTACCCTTGTGAGTGTCCCAGAATAGCTGTGGCTACCTGAGAGCAGTCCAGTCCTTGGGGACTCGTTATTGTCCCAGATAAACAGCGTGGCCAAAGCCAGAGTGTAATGGCTGTATTTAACCATGATAAGTGATGGGCCAACATGCTTGAGTGAGTGGCATCATTAGTGCGACCTGGGTTATTGGACAAAGGCAAGTCGGTTTGGCAACAGGCATTTCTTGCACATTATAGAGTTGATGCCACCAGATTTTAGACTCATGGGAATAAATATGACAGTCACGAGGAGCTTGCCTTCTAACCAGGTAAGACAGGACTACAGGATTATAGGATTTTGGTTATGCTAATAACATAGGTACGTAAGGAAGGAAAGAGGAATAAAAGTTTGGAAAATGGTTTAGATTAATTGAGGCAGGCTTCCTGGTAGAGGTGGACTCACACCACGGAGGGACTAGCTTGGAAATGTTGGGATGTAGAATAAGACAGACATTTTTCTCTGGACACACATTTTCTTTGGGGAATGGTTGCCTGGAAATTGTAAAATTTCCTTTTAAATGCTATCAGCGTAAGTCTTAGGCTGTACAGGCCAAGAAGAAAAGGTGAGAATGACCATATTTTGACAGTATCAACATTGAAAGAATTTATTAGTACTCAGGCACATTTTTGCTCTCTGTAATTCTCTGAAAATTCTTGTGTGATAAAGGAGAATGAGTAACTCACTCACTCTTAGCCATGCTTTTGTGATGAAAAGGAAGTGTCAGGTGGACAGTGGCTCTCTCAGTGCATTTGGTGTGCAGTTATGATTCCATGAGGAAGACACTTCATTGCTCTGGCCAAAAGGGACAGGTGGGCCTGGAATTCTGAAGACACCTGGCCATACATGCCCCCTGGAGACCATGCGTTATGCAGCCGGTCTTCATACACGGTACATCCACGGTATACAGGATGGGCTGTGTGTGTGTGATGTTCCATGTCACAGGGCCCTGGCTTGTCCTGCTTTCAGACAAACCCCCAATTCAGAAGAAAACCTGAATGTGAGGTGCAAATATTGCCACTTTCCCAGAACCCCCTGCATTAAGGGACATTCCAGAAATCTCTGCCAGTGCTGAGAATGTGTGTGTGTGTGTGTGTGTGTGTGTGTGTGTGATTAAGAGAGAGAAGGAGACTCTTTCTGAAACTTCAGACTTTGAGGTCCAGAAATTAATAGTCTTTCTCATACACTGATAACAGATTAATATTCAACTGCTCAAGTTTATAATCCTAGATACTTGTTTTGGTCCAGAGATCCTACAATCACAGAATATGAAAGATGGAAGATATAATAGAAAATCTAACCCAGGCCCCCATTTCATAGGAGGGATCAAGGCTTAGGGAGGTTATAGAATAGGTCCAAGGTCACACTGCTAGTTAGGGGTCACATTGGGCTGTAACTCACATCTGTCTCACTTTTGGTAGTAATTTCCTTTTCACTCAGAGCAAGAAATTCAGACAGAGAGGATGGATTTTCCCTAAGATCCCCATGCTTGGCAAGGGCAAAGTAGGAAGGGGCTCCGGCTTTGGAACTTCCTGCCGTGATCACTTTCTAAAACTCCAAGCTTGCTTCCTCCCCACTCTTGAGTTCTGTACCTCACATACCAGTAACTATCAGGAAAGTGAAGCCCGAGCTTGGTTCCGTAGTCTCATTGATTCCAGAGTCTACTCCTGTGTCACCAACAGGGGGGCTGCCCTGTACTAGGCAGAGCCAGAAGAACAAATGAAGATAACTTCAGGACCACCCCCTCCTCAACTGGTAGAAAGGGATTTGTACTGCCACCATCTGGCCTTTGTGGGTGTCCCGGCCTCGGCAAGTGTGTGGTGAGAGGGAAGGAAACAGCACAAATTGTCTACTTTGCCATTCTCTTAAAATAAGCTTGGTGTGAGGAGGCTTCTGGAGGCAGCAGGAATGGGGCTGCAAAAAATAGCGTGTGGTACAGCTGCATCCTTTAGAACTTTGGGGGAAAACACATATTATTTACCAGACAATAATAGATACCAGCGAATAATAATGATTATTATAGTGTTTGGGATGGCAAACGCTGTAGTTAAGCTTCCAGAATGGCTCTCATTATAATCCCGTTTCCCCAGTCCCTTATGAAAGCCTTGAAATTTTCTCCAAGTAGGCCGATGCTGTCCATGTTTGGCCTTTGTCCAAAGGTGATTTGAACATAAGGAAATTTATTTGAGAAATATTTCACATTTTTGGGTCATGGTTACATTAGAGGAAAAAGCTACATCACTCAAAAGCAGTGGCAGCAATCTTAAGGAAGGAATTCAAAATGGTGGTGTTTTCCAGTCGCTGGAAGAAAGCATTAAACACCTTTTTTTTTTTCTTTTCCTTTAGAAAGAAAGAATTCAGAGGCCCCCTCTGACTATAAGATTTGGTCACTCTTGGTCTCAAGCCCAGAGGTGGGGACGGGTTCCCTTCCTCCACAGCAAGTTTCAGGCTGTGCTCCCTACACGAAAAAGAATCATCTACAGTAGATGCTACGCTGGTGTCTTTGGATCCATTTGTCATTTCTGAGGCTGCTTCCTGGTCCTTTGTGACTTCACATTTGGTGGCTCTTGGTGTTTTTGTTTCTGTGTCCCTCTCGCCATTGTCCCTCATTCTCAAAAAAAGAAAGGAAAGAAGGAAGAAAGGAAGGGAGGGAAGAAAGAAAGAGAGAAAGTGAGAGAGAAAGAAAGAGAAAGAAAGAAATTAAAGTGAGCTCTTTATTCAGAGATAAATATCCGCGTTTCCAGATCTGACCATGCCAAATGAAAAGGTTTCCATGGCCTTGTAATTCCACCCCCACTGCATATTTGTGGTGTTTTGCATTTTCACTTTGGTTATTTAATATACATATTAAATGCACACAGATCTGGTGATTTAATGTGATTTGGGGAACTCAGGCATTTCCTGTCATGCACATTCAGATTTTTCAAACCTTGTTTTTGGCTGATCGTGATTGTTACCATTAACACCAGGATTTGGATAGCCGGGTTCAAAGCACAAGCTTGGACTTCGTCCTCCCCTCGGGCATTTTGACCTCCTCACACTTGTGCTAAATTCATGCTACAGACACTCTGAGCAAGTTTCCAAGTCTCTTTGTGGCCTCCATTTCTTCATCTATAAAATGAAGAAATTGTAGTATATTATCTCTGGGGTCCCTTCAAGTTCTAAATTCTATCACCTCCCTGAAGTTATTTGTTCATTGTTCTAGGAATAATCTCAACAGTTGTAAAGATGTTTATGAGTCCTCTGTCACCACCTCACGTTAGCCAAATTTTACCCATTCACATTCCTGACATCCCCAGTTATTGGCAGGAAAAAAAAGGTACTATTTTGGGGCATGGAGGACCAGAGCCGCTTGACCCTCATTCATTTGACAAACGTGTGTCGAGCTGAACTAGGAGCTGGGCATAGAGACGTGAGCAAAACGGACACAGCCCCAGACCTCAGGGACTTCCCCGTTGGTTGGCAAACTTCTAAGTGGCTCCTTACTGGGAGTGACTGAGTGTCCTTAGGAGGTTATGTTTCAAACCAAGGGACTAGCAGCAAATGGAATAAGCCCGTAGGGGTGGAGAAGCAGAGCCTAACGGTGGTGGTGGAGTTGGGGTGGGCATTCCCCAGGTGAACAATCCTGTTTAGAACATCTGCCCTGGGATTCCAAGGCCTGGTTGGTTTATTGTCTTCCAGTCCTGTGCTACTGTTTGGTTAGGATATGAAGAGATGTGAATGGCTCACCTTTGTCAGCAAGACCCACAGAGAGGGGCATTTCTGCCAGCTTAGTTGCCTCCATAGGAAACCATAGGAAGAGAGGTCTATGTGTCCACAGTAAATTTTCATGTCCTAAAATGTGAATCTCTTGGCTTTCCTCCTTAGCAGTAAACACCAGGGCATGGAGTACAGGGGTGAGGTCTGGAGCTCCAGGCTTGTCTGGCTTTGGGGTGACCTTGGGCAACTCAGAAGACCTTCTGCCAGTTAAGCGTGCAGTAACGTGGAGAGTGAAAGTTGCCAGGTCGCAAAGGATGCTGTTGTGGTCTTTGAGTGAGGGCGTGGTGCACCATGCTCATTGTGGTATTCCAAAAAGCGACTCGAGTTTCATTTCCTCACGCAGAGCTGGCAGGGTTGCATCCTGAGCAGAACCGTGAATGAAAGTCATGTCGAAATCACGCTGTGCTGCCTTAATTTTAGGGACTCATCTTAGGTCTGACCTGATGGCTGGAGAGTGTGCTGGTCTGACTCATGCCTGGGTTCTCCCCAGTGTGGGAGGTGGGGGGGCTGGTTTGGTCCAGTAGGTGCTGACAGGCCCCTTCTCCTCTTTTTCCAGGAACGCTCACTCACAGGGTACCTTGCATGGAGAGAGGGCGCAGAGCAAACCATGTCACACCATCCAATGACACCAGCTGGTCAGCTCACCACCCCCTCTGGCTAAAACTCAAGCAAATAAAGCCGCTTCCTGTCATTAAGCATCTCAGAGGAAGCAGCCCTCCCTCCGTGGCCTCTAGCCCAGAGAAGCCAGCACGTCTTGGACCCACCAAGCGGGCCCAGCCTTCCTGCTGCCACCATCTCTGCTTCTCCCAGAGGAACTTAGGGATTTCGCCCCTGGTTTTAAAAAAACAAAACACCAACAAGCCACAAGGACCAATGTAGGTATTCTCCCCGCTCCATCTTCCAGGCTCAGAGGGTGAGGCTGGAAGATGATATGGATTTGAAAACAAAAATCTTTTTTTAATCTTTTTAAAAACTGCTGTGGTTTTGCTGCTACACTAAGAATTGTGATTTGCATTGTACGGTTTTGGACCTATACTGTCCACGTTTTGACGGCGGAGAGGGATCATACTGGAGTCCCAACGCTTCAGATTCATCTCTGTCCTGCCCAGGATGCACTTTTAAATGAAGAGTTAGAATATTTTATTGGCTAATATACTTTTCTTGTTATTTTTACAAAGGCCACCTTTATCCTTTTTAATGCCATATTTTCAGTGTTACACTTTTATGGCTTTTAATTTTCGATTTGACAGATGTAAGAAGCAGCATGAATAGTTTATACTGTGGTTTTTCAGAGACTGAATGCCAAGAGAACTCGGTAAATGTTTATTCTTCTCAGCTTTCTCTTTAAATTCCCCTAAATAGCGCCCCATTTGGGAACAGAGCAAGAGTGTTGAACTGAAGACCAAAATGCCCTCTAGGTGTAAAATAATCCGAGAGGGAATATTTGCTGGGCGTCACGAAAGACTTGGATGAAATTTCAACCCTGATGGTTTTCGGTGATCCAGGAAGTCAGTGAAGCAATCTCTCTATACGCAGAGCCCTTTCATGATAATTAGAATGGTATGGACAAACCAATGAAAACAAGAGGGAAAGTGAGAAAGATCACCCATGATTCTGTTTCACTGTTTGCTTTCTCCTGTCATGGTTAAGAGAAATGTGCAATTGGATCCTCAATCAGTGGGTGGAGGATAACAGGGTAGATTTTCTTGTGTGCACTTGTACAGTTGTAGCTGCGAGTCCAGAAGTCCTCTAGAGCATGTGTACTGGCACTGAGTCGGTGAGACAGTCGTGGAGTATCCCATTCTGATGAGTACAGAAAAAAAAAAAAAAAGAGAAAAAATAAGAAAAAAATCCAAAAAAAGAAGAAAACTAAAAAAAAAAAAAATCAAATCACCTTGTGATTCAGTGTATCTGTTTACTAACTCAAATAAAGCAATTGTTCCCTCTGGAGGGGTCCAGGTGCCCCCTGCCCACAGGGCCGCTGAGCCGGCAGCAGGAGGGGTGGTGGGCAGCGGCGGGTGAGGCTGGGACGGTGTCGCGCCGGCCTTAGAGCCCCCGGGGCCGTGGATGCGGTGTACATACTGTATTTCTATATTCTCCTTTGTACAGAGTCACTTAACAAGTCAAGCTACTGTTTTACAGGTGCTCCTTATTTATTAGAGCTGTGAGAGCTTGGGGGACACACCTGGCGAGCGAGCTCGCTTTTTAAAAATGAAATTGGGGGGCAGGGGAAGGGAGGGGAGGGAGGGGAAGCTCGCAAGCCCGGGGAGAGATTTATAAACGTAAACAAAAGGAAAACTTCCGGCAACAAATTCCACCAACCAACCAACCCACCCCAACACCGAGTCCCCGCGCAGGAAGCTGCACCCCTCCTCCGGGTGCTCATTTCCATGCTGGGCTCCCCCACATTCTCCTCTCTCCCTGACCGGTGTCAGATTCATCAAACGAAAATAAATCTCTAAGAAAAAAAAATGCACTTACATGTGCTGATTTTGCTTTTCTCATTATTACGACTATTGTTGTTATGTTCCTTGTTACAGATGTTCACTTCTTTCCCCCAGGGAAAAATTTTTAGAAATAAAGTAAGTACGTTTTAAAAGATGTTGAGATATTGGGGTGACACTGGCCCTTCCCAACCTGCTGTGGATCATGCTGCTCTGTGAACAAGAGCCCACACGTGTGTTCCAGGGTCTGCTTCCCCACCACGTCCATTGTTGACAACACACACTGCGTGTAGAGCCGGTTCCTGGGCCTGTAGACTGTGTTGTCCCTTCCCGAATTCTCTCTAAGTCCCGGTCTTTTTTGGCTCCAAGGGTTTGGATCTAAGGCTCAAGAAGCACCGCACAGTGGATGCAAACTTCGCTCGTGGGTTCCCCTCCGATCAGTCGCATCTACTTGGAGGTGGTTTGTATGAATGGGAGGGGTCAATCTGGATTTTTTTTGGTACCTGAATTAAACATCAGAAAGTTTCTAAGGTAGAAAGTACATTAATACCTGGCTCTAGTCAATGTAGATCTAGTCTAGTCCTCTTGTTCTACATGTGAAAAAACTGAAGCCTAGAAAGGTGAATTGACTTGTCCAGAGTCCCACACTGAGTTGGTTTAGCTTGTCAAAAAAAACGAATGTTCATTAAAAGCTTAGGCACCATCAGCAATTTTCTCCAAATAGCCATCCTAGGAGAGGCTTCTGGATACCTGGTTTCTTTCTCTCATGGAGCCTGAGGGAATCTCAGAGGTTCCTGGTGTGGGGTTGTGTTTATGACTCCATGGGAACTCCTCAGGCCCAGGTGAGGATGTGCCAGGACCCGGACACTCAGCTGTGGCTGTCTGGTGCAAAGTGCCTGTTAGCGTTATTCATCTGGACTTGGCCGTAGAGTCAATTGTCCAGGATATCGATTTTGCTTTTGTGCTGTAGTCCAAGATTGCTGAGCAAATATTTTGACCTTTCTGGAAACAAAAGGTACCTTTGTTCCAACATGAAAAGATTCCGGGGCATCTCATTAGACATCGGCACACCTTTTCCTCCTTCCCTTCTTTCTCTTAATCTTAGTGTTCCCTGAGTGCGAAATCCTCTTAGTCTATCAAAACTATATATAAAGAGAAATAATACATAGAATAATTACATAGAAATAATAACGCAAATACTTATGAGCAAGTGGTGAGCGTATGGACATTAGCCTCATTTCATTTTCATGGTGACCCTGTGAGAAAGGTCCTTTTATTTTCCTTTTATTACCGGATCCAATCTGAAGAAAAACTGTTGACGTCTCCATGAATTGTCATTTTGACTTCCTGTCAGTTTGTGGCAGTGATTCAGCTTTGTTGTAAAGTGGCCCTCAAGTCTGATTTTCCTTAGTTTAAACTAAGCTAGAAAGTTGGGTGTTAACAGTTGCTGCTCACATACCATACTGAGTGTGGGGAAGTGCTGAGGCCACTCCGCTTTCTGAGAAACGAGTCAGGCAGTGCCTTCCTTGTTGGTAAAGCCCCACCGAACCCAAGGTCCCATGTCTCATGCTGGGGGTGGAGACTAGAAAAGAGTAGCGCTCATAGCCCCTGCCCCAGAGCTTACATGGAATGAGAGCACAAGGCTGTGGACAAGATGGACCACTTCTTGGTCTCAGCAGGGATCTCTCTGAGTGTTTTCCAGGGTGTCTATAATTGCACATCTGGAGCCTTGATTCACAGCCTTGCAAGCCACTTCTTCTTGCAGGTGTTCCCTTGAGCCTCAAGCAGACTTGTAGGTGCCAGCTCATGCTGTCCACTTGCCACAGCCAAAGGCCAGGGCTGAGGCCCAGGTACAAAGGCACTCAAGACTCAGCTGACTCCTCCCCTCCTGTGCTCCTCCTCCACCCCAGGGGCGAGAGTCTTAGTAGCTTCCTTGATCAGTTCAACTGGACCCCACCCTGGGACATGTCACACCCCGCTTACAGCTCTTCAGTGGTTCCCTGTGCCCTACAAAGGCAAAGCCACAGACCCAGTGTGGCATGCCAAGACCCCCCAGCTTTGGCCCCTGCTGGCCTCTCCCTGCCTGCCAGCCCCGCCTGCACTCCCCATGCTGAGTTAGGAGCTGCTTCCTGACACCTCTGCTCTCTTTCTTCCTTCTACATCTTTGCACACGGAGCTGCCTCTGCCTTCAATGTCTTCCCCTGTCTTCCCTGGGCAATTTCTGCAGCCCATCAAGGCTCAGCCAACTACTGGGGTGATGCTCTCCTGGGTAACCTGCGGGCACCACTTCCTCCCTTTCCTTGCCAGGGCAGGTACCCCTCCATGCCCACCTCCATCCCAGTGCACATCACACTCTGCTTGTCCAGCTGCTCAGCTTTCTGTGCCCTTTGCTAGTTTCCAAAGTCCCTGAGGTTTGGGATCCTGTCTTATTTGCCTTGTATCTCCTAGGCCCAGCACATGGGAAGTTATTATAATTATTTTTAATACAATTAATAAGCCACCCCCTTCAAAGCTCAATTTACATGCCACCCCTCTGCGAAGCCAAGTCTGATTTTCCTGAGTTGCAGTTAATCGCTTCTCCCTCAGGCTCTGTGGCTCTTGTTCAGACAGACTGAGGCCACTGCTCGCACTGCTCTTCCCGTGTCATCCAGGGTCCTAGAAGGTGGCCACTGTGGCTTTCCTAACTTTGCACCCTTGAAGAGCTCTTCTCCGCCTTTGAAATGGGAAATGTCGGCTGCGTGGAGGCCCTTTTATCCTACTGGCCTAATGATAGGATAGTAAAACCCTGAAAACCAGCTATGCAGCAAGCCCAGAAAGGCTGCAGAGTTTCGTTTCGTTTCTGGTGCTCAGGGGAGGGAGGTGCTGGTGTTACCTCCGACTCAGCAGTCGGTCAGTGCATCTTTGGGCTTCTTTTCAATACAAGGAGTGACACGAGGGGACAAGACTCAGTCACTGCTCTTGGGTTTCTGTGCTGTGCAATGATTCCAGGTCACGGAATATTATACTTTTTACCCAAAAGAGCCTTAGAGATCAGATAATTCCTCGATCCTTGGACACACTTATAGATGGAAAGTTAATCTTCAGTACCCAGAAAGGGCCTCTCATTCTGTCCTCTTGACCATGGGCGGAATGAACAGTTGTCACCAGTGTATGTGGTTGTTCTAGTGAAAGGAGGGGCCTCAGCTGAGAAACGGAAAATAGCTCACGTCCTTTAGGCGCTTACTCGGTGCGCAGCCCCATCTTCGAGCTGTGCCCACATTCACTTATTGAACTCTCATAGCAGCCCTGTGAGGGAGGCACTGGTATTATCTACATCCCCATTCTATAGCCGAAGAAACTGAGGCATGAAGTTGCAGGGCTCAAGGCGCCGCAAGGAGGAAGAGGCAGAACCCAGCAGTGGGCTCCAGCACCCACACTCCCCATCGCTGCGCTGAGCTGCCTCATCAGGGCCGAGGACGCCTGGCGGTTCAGGTCATAGGGCAAAGTTCATGTCATTTACTTGGTGCCTAAACCATGAGATTGAAACATCTTTGACCTTTATGTGGTGTTTGGAGAGAAAAATATCTACCTCTGCTGCTCCTGACACCTGGTTTTGAACACCACCAAAAATCCAACTGTCAATATATCCGTCAATAAAGTGGGAGGGAGAAGGGGTGGGGGCCTGTGCAGCAGCTCAGTGGGAAGAAGAGGAGAGAGAAGCACTTGGCCGCCATGTTAACGTTCCTGGGGCAGGGAGAGAGGGAGCGTTTGGGCCAGGGGCTGTTTTCCATTTCCTACTGTTCTGACTTTCTGAGCTGCAAGCTGGGCTTTCTCGCATGGCCCTTGACTGGATAGGTGAAGGGACGCCCAACAAGAGCAGCCGTGGAGCTGCCAGGGCCACACGGGGCTGTGCCACTTTGCCCAGAACACAGGGGCCTGAATCCAAGCCACACAGGCACTTTTGGGCGGGGTCACTGGATCCCTGGTCGACTAGCTGACCGAACAAATGGACAGAAATATTGAAAGTGTCCACATGCCAGACCCCACAATGGGGGCAGTCACTCAGACTATCTCAGGCAATTCTCACAAAGCCACACGCTATAGGCTGTGCGATCCTCATTTCTGCATGAGGAAGAACAGTTCAGGAAGGTTAGGGATCTGCTCGGGTCCCTCGGCTAGTAGGTAGGAGAGCCAAGATCTAAACCCTCTGCCCCCACATGCAGGGCTCTTTTGATGGCACCACAGCCCCAGAAATACGGCGTCAACTCAGGTCTTAACTCCGTTTGACTCTGAATCAGCCAATGGCACACATGCTTGATGATATCCTTCCAGACCTGTGGGAATGGATAATGCCCTCTTTCCTCACCCATTCTTCACATGCAGAGTTTTGCCAAACCAGCAGAGTGAACCCCCAAAGAAGTAATGAACAACACTGCTAATCTTAGTGGACATTTATCCAATGGGTACTAAATGCCTTTCCATTGCATTATTTTATTTATGCCTCACAACAACCCTGTGAGGTGGGTACTGTTATTATTCCCACTTTACGGATGAGGAAACTGAGCACATAGAAGCCTAGTAAGGGCAAAGCCTGGAATTGCATTTGGCAGTCTGTTACCAAGGCCCACACTTAACCAGCACACTCGCATTTTGGCCTCCCTCTTGTGGCCGGACAGATGCCTGCATGCATGAATAAAGGAGCATTGAATTGAGTACCTCCTGTGTGGCCAAGTTTTACAACAGTCACTTTCACATATGTCATCTCATTGAGACTGACTGGAGCATCAACCCTGAAAGTCATGCAGAAGAGCACAAAAGTGGTTCCCATCTCTTGAGTTATGGAAAAGGTCAATTGCCAATATTTTCTTTAACCTCCAATAAATTCCTGTCCTGGATGAGAACTCTTCTTTGCAAACAGAGCCAGCCTCATGATCCAACAATGCTCAAGGGGAACGCTCAAGGGGATTCCCTCCACAGCTCTTTACTGTGCCTGTTTCCACTCATCTGCTTTCCTCTAAGAGCCTGGGGGCAAGGACCAGGGCTAATTCA